TTTTGCTTTTTTTTTTTTTTACTGTTTTTGTTCTGTTACCCATTGGATAAATACATATGTCTACTGAAAAACATAATGTTAAACAATTTAATCTTTGACGCTTCTCTTCAAATATTAACAAATCTCAGATTAAGTTAAATCCATTTCAGAATTGTACTTGTGAAAGGATGGAGCATTGTGGCTTCAGGCTTGCACCTTTCAGGCATATTAATGTACCTCTCCTCATTGGAGTGAAGAGAGGAAAACTCAAAAAATAATTTTTTGAAAGAAAGTAGAAACCCAATTTTGAGGACAGAGGGAACCATGGAATCAGACTAGCAGGATAATCTTAATCCACCCTTGCTTTGATATTTAGCTTTAATGACTAAGGACTGAAAATGCATTGGAAAACAAAGTGTGCTAAACAAATACAGAAAGGAACAGCACTGCAAATTTCTGTCTTACTCATAAACAATTTTGTCAATTTGAAACACTTTTCATTGTGGGAGAATTATTGAGGGGATTGAGGCATTCTGTAGAATTAAACTGTCTAGTTTGTAAAGTGTGTAATGTGTACTGCAGATGTGTATTCTCTGGGCTCTATGTATCATTACAGTAGTGTTCATTTTAGGAAAAATTAAATCGTGGACACATTTTGGTGGTAAGGGGAAAATTGTGATTGCATCAGATGATGCTGTAATGTATTAAACTCTTAATAGCAGATCTGAACCTCCTCCCCGCCCCCCTTACACCCTTCCTTGGAGTTAAGTCTTCTAATCTTGGTTCAAAAATACTCTCTATTAAAGATGTATGGATACACTGGCAGACTGCATGATGTATCATTTGAAACCTGTTCAAGTGGAAAATAAAATTGAATTAAACTTTCTTGCATGCTGTGTTTGTGACATGCATTAACATTGTCTTGGTGTAAACTTGTCTGTGGCACAGGTGTTTTCCCACAAATAATCTCTATTTAGGCGCTAGTTATTTTGTGGTAAATTGTATAAATGCAATGGAGCACCTAGGAATGCCAGCGTTTTAGTGGTCTGCTAATGTGTGGCAGGTAGACAAGATGCCCAGGGAGGCATATAGTAGAAATCTATCACTGTAGAAGTCTGTTACTCTTTTACAAATACTTTTTTCCTCCCACATCCTCACCTCAAATCCTCCATCCACTCACTCCTTGCTGGATGGCCTAAGTCAGGACAAAGACATTTTGCTTCTTTCTTGTTGTCAAGTGCTTAACAGGAGCATTACTGTCTGCTTTCTGTGCTCTGATATAGTGAGCCTTCACAGAGTGCTTTCAGTATGAAAACTGTTCTTACTAAGTGTGAAGAGTTTGGGTGTTGACTTCTCTATTTTAAAAAGTGTTTCTAAAAGGGTTTCTAAAGGGCATGTGCCAACAATTGCATTTTATGACATTCCAGAGAGGGTTTAGCTGGCACCAGCAGCTAGACAGATTCTTGTTGGAAGCTCATTGCCATTTAAAGCCCTTTTTGACAGTCAGCATTGAGAACTACAGCTACTAGTCTTTGACTCACTGACTAACATGTCATTGACCAGCTAAATTCCTTAATATTAAATATAAATTAGAACTTAATTGTACCTATTTCATAGATTTCATAGACAGTCGGGCTGGAAGGGACCCCAGAGGATCATCAAATCCAGCCCCATGCCCAGGGGCAGGAAGTCAGCAGGGATCATAGGATCCCAGCAAGATAAACATCCAAAAGTGTCTTGAAGGCGTTGAAAGTGGGTTCTTGAACCACCTCCGGTGGCAGTCTGTTCCAGACCTTGGGGACTCGGACAGTAAACAAGTTCTTCCTTATGTCCAGCTTGAAACAGTTGTAGAGGAGTTTGTGACCTAGTTCTGTTGTTGGAGGGCTGGAAAAGACCTCAGGAGGTCATCTAGTCCAACCCCCTGCTCAAAGCAGGACCATGCCCAACTATATAATCCCAGCCAAGGCTTTGTCTACCTAGGTCTTAAAAAAAAAATCTCTATATAATTAGCTTGTTGTTAAAACTAGGAAGTAATCATTATTTCCTTACTTATAGCAAAAGGTATTTCTAGCCATTCAAAACGAAACGCTTCAGCAGAGAAGTTTTCTATCTTAAAGAGTTAAAGTCCGTTAGAAAATGTAATATTTAGTACTTAGTTGGTATGTCTACACAAGATGCTTAATGTGCAGTAGACTAATTCTGCTGTGCTTTAGCATGTCATGGCAAAAGCTGTGCTAATGGACAGCAGAATTAGTCTACTACTGCACATTAAGCATCATGAAAACACTGTGACCTGGCATGTCTGTGCAGTAGCACCAGTTACTGTGCACTCATATTAGAGGTACTAAACTTAATGCGCAGTAACAATGGTGCATTAATGCATGTGTAGATGTGCCCAGTAAGTACCTAGTCCTTACTAGGCATTTCACTCTGATCTTGCAAGCAAAGGTAGATATTACATGTTGCCTTACTAGAGAGAGAATATATCTTCCATGAGTAAAAAGAATGTCTAAAAACCTTTATGATCCGACAGATAAAGGAAGAGTTAAATTACAGAACAAAAGGCTTGCAGGAGTATTCTTGCCATTTCCTTCCCAGAAAGTTGATTGTATATGTTAATTTGCCTCTTTCTCAAAACATCACACAGTGATCATATATCTTAACTTCCCTTCCAAAATTTAATTTGCCAAAATACAGTAGGAAGCAAAGGCCAAGATTTTATACTGTAAGAAGTGTTTAATCCAGCATTGCCAATTTAGATGAAGTACCTTCAGACAAGACCCTGTGAATGCTAACAAATTCTCTGTAATGATGCTGAACTTGATTAATCAAGCTGAAGGCAGGTCTTATTTTTCAATGGCAGAACAATTTGGTTTTGCCATGAGCATCTCATTCCTATAACAGAATGTCATTTTACTTGATACTCCAATCCTTAATGTCTAGCACAGGTTGTCTGTAAAGTCCAGCTGGTGAAGATGTGAACTGATCAGCACCTACATTGGCAGGTGCGGCATGCAACCACCACTGCACCTACCTTAAGTCTTTGGGTTGTCAAGGTGGCCTCTTTCCCAACTACTAATTTTGCATTAAAATATTAGCTTCTGACTCATAACTCTCTTTCATTCCATGCTGAAGTCAGCATAGAAAAAATACAACATTCAGGGAGCTTGGTACAAAAAAATCCTTATAAATCTCTTGTGCCATGTTACATCTGCAGCATGAGACACAATTCCCTATGTTGTAAAGATAACTAAGTCTTTGTTTTGTGTCTGCTTTGACCTGATGGCTCTGACAGCTCATCAGGCTAGTCAGGTGACACTGTTCCTCTATATTTTCTGGGCTGCCCTGTGTTGAAATGGGAATCTGGGTTAAGTTCCTGAATTGACCCTGCCAGACCCATACTGACCTCAACACATAGTTAGGAAGCAGTAATTACTATTTGGGACCAATTGGGGTGGGGGAGGGCACACAAGGGGCTGGGGTACGTGACTTTGGAGGAGAGGCTGAGGGAGCTGGGCTTATTTGGTTTGCAAGGAAAGGGGGGGGGGGATTTGATAG